CCTTGCTCAGCCAGTGAGCGGGAACCGGTCTGTATGTGGGATCCGAACCCTCGGCGGGAGCGCCGCCGCGCTCCCAAGCAGCGCACTGTAGCAGTGCGCCACCGGGCCGGCCCAAACTTTTAAAAAATAAAACTACCTCTATTACCAGTTCTCAGTGTATGAAATCACAGCTCAACTTTTTTTAGGTTTTTAAGCTTTTAAATAAATAAGATTTCATTAATCTCTTCATTTACCTAGTGTTTTTATCTAGTAAACTAACATTAAGAATTGTGGATGAATGGGCCAGCCCCGTGGCATACTCGGGAGAGTGCAGCGCTGGGAGTGAAGCGACGCTCCCGCTGTGGGTTTGGATCCTATATAGAAATGGCCGGTGCTCTCACTGGCTGAGTGCAGTGCGGGTGACACCACACCAAGGTTTGCGATCCCCTTACCGGTCACAAAAAAGACAAAAAAAAGGAATGGTGGATGAAAAGTACATTTTTCTTTTGCTGGCCAGTACAGAGAAGTACTTTTGAGAAACACATTTTATGTGAGATTGTAACTACACTGAGTTAATACAATTTAGACTGTCAAACATAACATCTAGGGCCAGCCCGGTGGCGCACTGGAGAGTGCACTGCTTGGGAGCGCGGCAGCACTCCCGCCGAGGGTTCGGATCCCATGTGGAGGCCGGTTCCCGCTCACTGGCTGAGCGAGGTGCGGGCACAGCACCGAGGGTTGCGATCCCGTTACCAGAAAATACTTTGAATATGTAAGTTCTAATATGTTTGATTAAATTCTTTTCATTAGGCCGGCCCGTGGCCCACTCGGCAGAGTGCGGTGCTGATAACACCAAGGCCACGGGTTCGGATCCCATATAGGGATGGCCGGTTTGCTCCCTGGGTGAGTGTGGTGCTGACAACACCAAGTCAAGGGTTAAGATCCCCTTACCGGTCATCTTTAAACAAACAAACAAAAAAACATAACATCTAGCAACTAATGCAAGAAATCAAAAAGTTACCAAAAAAAAAGATTCTGGGCCGGCCTGTGGCTCACTTGGGAGAGTGTGGTGCTGATAACACCAAGGCCGCGGGTTTGGATCCCACATAGGGATGGCCGGTTTGCTCACTGGGTAAGCATGGTGCTGACAATACCAAGTCAAGGGTTAAGATCCCTTTACTGGTCATCTTTTAAAAAAAAAAAAAAAAAGATTCTGTGCCCCATATTTACGCGGAGTTTGAAGACATAAGAAAATTCAATGAGTTTATTTTGCTTTTGACAGTCGTCCAGCTCCAGAATCCGAACCTGTGACCTTGGTGTTATAAGGCTACACTCTAACCAAATTGAGCATCTGGCCAGCCCCAGAAAGTTCAATGAGTTAAGCATGGTAATTATCTCTGTAAAACAGAAAATATTTTTATAAAGTAATGAAAAGAATTTTTTTTTTTTTTTAAAAGATGACCGGTAAGGGGATCTCAACCCTTGGCTTGGTGTTGTCAGCACCACGCTCAGCCAGTGAGCAAACCGGCCATCCCTATATAGGATCCGAACCCGTGGCCTTGGTGTTATCAGCACCGCACTCTACCGAGTGAGCCACGGGCTGGCCTAATGAAAAGAATTTAATCAAACATATTAGAACTTACATATTCAAAGTATTTTCTTCCAAAGGAGTCTTTATAGAAAACAAGTCCAATATATTCTATGATTGTTGGAAACATTTCTGAATTTTCTTTTACAAACTGACTTCGAAATGATTCAGATTTACCTTCCAAAGGAGTCTTTATAGAAAACAAGTCCAATATATTCTATGATTGTTGGAAACATTTCTCAATTTTCTTTTACAAACTGACTTCGAAATGATTCAGATTTACCATTAAAAAAAAAAAAGGGTCACCATCAAACTATACAAAAAATAAAGGGCTTCCCAGAGCTGAAGCTTTCAACAGAGCACAAGAATCACTAAGGATAGTTTATAACATGGTATAGGTTCTGAAGAAAGTTCCAGAAGAGGAATCTCAAAACCTTCTTTTTTTGTTTGTTTTGGGGCAGCTGGCTGGCATGTCAAAACATTGTGACTGCTCAAAATTTCACCAGAATAAATGTAGAGAAAGTAACACTGTGATAAGCAAGAACTGAACTGCGTATAAGAATCACCTGAGAAACTTGTTAAAATGCAGATTTAGTAGGTATGAGGTGGGGGCCTGAGATTTGACATTTCCACTACATATTATGCATTTCTAATTCTAATAAGTATCCCCAGGTGATTCTGATGCTGGTGATGCACAGATCTGCTGGGGCTCACAACACGAAAGTGAAGGCCTCAGAAGCTAAGTATTTCTCTGACCTTCTCCTGCCCTCCTGTCTTACAGACTCATTCTCCCCTGAGGAAGGCCATAGAATCTAGAATTCATGTTCTCCAAGGAGGTCAGAGAAAGCAGACCCCTTTTCTCCAAAGCCAGCCATAAAGACTAAAAGTATACTCTAATCTTCCCCTTCCCTTTCTGTCTTGGAGCTGGCCATAAATTCTCTGACCTACTTAGCTGATTGGAGGTCATAAGACCCCCATTTTAGAAGGGGTCCTCCACCCTACTTGGGAGGAAGAAATACTACACAGAGAGGCCAAGAAGAATCCGAACAGATAGGCCTTACTGTGTTTATCCACTCAGTCTATTAGCATTAGATCATATTTTTTGCCCAATCACATTTAAACATGGCTGTCCCTGCTTCATAGAACCTCCACATAAAAATGGACAGTTTTCCCTCTATCTTTGGATCTTCATTCTGAAGGCTCCCAAGTCATATAAAATAATGATCAAATAAATTTGTTAGGCCCTTTTTCCTATTAATCTTTGTTTTGTCAGTTGATTTTCAGCAAACCTTCAGGGGGTAAAGGGGCAGTTTTCCCTTGGCCCCTACAGATCAATCTCTGCGAATAGTGCTGCTTTTTGAACAGTTGGCAAAAACATTAAGAAGGATTGGCCAATAGTCAATAAGCTGGTCAGTAATCTTTAAGAGTAGCCCATGCCCATCTATTACTTAAAAAAATTCTCTCTATGGGATTTCAAATTAAGATAGTTAACAGTCTCTGTTAAGGAATAATCTAGTGAAAATTTAGCAAGCAAATAAGAGTAGCTCAGTCTTACAGAGAAAACTCATGTCCTCTTTCATGGTGCTTAGGGAAATGCTGCTATGAGAATCATTTTAGGAAAACTTTGTCTAAATAGGTGAGAAAGGTCTCAGTTGCAATATGGTTTGAGATTTGATTTCTGCTCCCTTTTGTTACCTTTCAGCTTGGGTATGAGATGTTGAAATTCTTCTAGCGTATAGGCTTCATCCACTCCAGTGAGAGCTACTGCTCCATCAGTGCCAGATCGCGGGCCATCCCAAAGTTCTCGACTGGGGTCTCTCCGAGGCACAAAAAGCATGGACTTGTGTGATGGTAACTGCTTGCCAGGGAGGCTTTGAAGGACCAGAATGCTATCAGGCTCTTGGAATCCACTCAGGTACAGGAAATTGTTGTCTTGGTGGAAAGTATACGGGATATCATTGCTCATGTAGTATGTAGGGTTGGAAAGCACAACCACTGTCTGGTCTGTCCCATTCTGCCCTTGTGCTTCCTTGTGGATCAGAGCCATTAGTTTGTGTCTGCGAAGTGCATATTCCACCTGAGATAGTCCTGGAGTCACCTCCCCTAGAAACAACAAATAAAAGCAATGCTTTGTGTTTCTATTTGAGACACCGAAGTTCATTTCTTCAATTTACACCAAATCTCCTCATAGCACAGGGAATTAAGAAGATAAGCCAGGTTTCAAATTTCTATTCCATTGTAAAATTTGGAAGGAATGATGGTTAAATGTGGTCCTTCTTGAAAACTGGGATCATGACCCCTTAAGATCTCTTCCAGCTCTTTGGTTTATTCTATTATTTGTTCAATCAAACATTCATTAAACATTATGTGGAAGGCACTGTTAGGCATATAATCAAAGTTGTCCTCAAGTTTCAACAGATAAGATAGAGAGAAGGGTCAAATTATCTCTTTATGACTTCTTTAAAAGAATGTAAGCTCTATGTGAACACAGATTTTTGTTTGTTCCATGTTATATTCCGAGGGCCTAGAATAATAGCTGGAATATAGTGGGCATTTGATAAATATGTGAAATGACCTATAGTTTTAACATAATAGAATTTAAGGACAAAAAGCTGTCCCCAATTTCAAGGCCTAGAATAGATTTTCCCTTCTGAATTCCCAAGGCATAATAATACCTTTCTAATAAGACTTTCCATTCTCTACCTTGTACTTATACTGAGTTGGGTATACACATAAGCTCCTGAGGGCCATCTTTATATTCTCTAAAAACCCTAATTATAGGGCCGGCCCGTGGCTCACTTGGGAGAGTGCGGTGTTGATAACACCAAGGCCACGGGTTCGGATCCCATATAGGGATGGCCGGTTTGCTCACTGGCTGAGCGTGGTGCTGACAACACCAAGCCGAGGGTTGAGATCCCCTTACCGGTCATCTTTTTAAAAAAATAAAAAATAAAAATAAATAAAAATAAAAACCCTAATTATATCATCTACCTCTTGGGGCTGTTATGAGAATGAAATCTGATAAAGCATGTGATTCCTAAGGATTAAAGACTCTCTTGGGAATCTTTTGAAAGCTATAGATTCATTCTGTTCACTAAACTGCACACAGGCACACATAAACTTTTTTTTTTCCTTTTTGTCTTTTTTACTGACCGGTAACGGGATCGCAACCCTCCGTATCGCGCCCGTACCGGGGACCAGCAACGGGATCACAACCCTCGGTGTTGCGCCTGCACCGCACTCAGCCAGTGAGCGGGAACCGGTCTCCACATGGGATCCGAACCCTCGGCGGGAGCACCGCCATACTCCCAAGCGGTGCACTCTCCAGTGCGCCACCAGGCCAGCCCCACACATAAACTTTTGACGTAAAATTTCAAGAGTCTCAGATTCCCTTATGTCCACCCAAAAACTCCAGATTAAGAATCTCTGTTATAAAGGGTTTCATGTTAATTCTTTGTATCTAGCAGACTGCCTGGTTACCAGCACAGTGATGACCTTGTGAATGCTTCCGTTATAAAATAGAAATTATGCCTCCTCCTGTCAGATCAGTTTTAGATTTCGGTTCCTGAGCAAAAGAACTACTAAACAATCACCAAAGCTGTATCCCCTCAGCCTACAAGTAGCAGTAACAACAGTAAAACAACATCTAACGCTTACTGAATGTTTACTATGTGTCTAGTACTAACTATTCTAATTATTTACATGTATCAACTCATTTAATCTTTACGTTGACACTATGGGGGATGGCTGGTTAGCTCACTTGGTTAGAAAAGGGTATTGAGAACACCAAGGTCCAGGATTTGATTCCTGTTACCATTGACCAAAAAAAAGACTCTATGATGTGGGTTACTATTATTTCTCCCTGTGGTAGCCAGTCTCCATATATGAATATGGAAAGATAGCTCTAAAATACTGCTGTATGAAAAACTTATAGAAGATGAATAATATGATCCCATTTATGTTAAAAAAAAAAAAAAGGAGAGGTATAGAAAAAATTTTAGAAAAGGATCAAACTTTATAGTGGTGAACTATGGTGAATGAGATTAGAGAAGAATGAAATTTTCTATTTAACATGCTTTTTATTCTGTTTCATTGAGTATATACTTTTATATATAAAATCCCAAATAAAGAGAAAAAGAGGCTAAAAAAAGAAAAACCATGGAAAGTCTATTCCATACTCAGAACCTACAACAGCTTTTTGTTGCCTAGTAGATCAAATTCAAACTCTTAGGTGTTAGATTTTAATGTTCTCTACCAGATGACTGAAATTCATCTGGCCAACTTTTAAAAAAAAAATAGAGTACTGAGATATGACTCACGTATCACACAATTCACCCACTTAAAGTTTACAATTCAATGTTTTTTAGTATATTCAGGTACATTTACTGAATCATGCAACCCTTACCACAATCAATTTTAGAACATTTCATCAATTGAAAAAGAAACCCCATGTCAGGCCGGCCCGTGGCTCACTCTGGAGAGTGCGGTGCTGATAACACCAAGGCCGCGGGTTCGGATCCTATATAGGGATGGCCAGTTGGCTCACTGGCTGAGCGTGGTGCTGACAACATCAAGTCAAGGGTTGAGATCCCCTTACTGGTCAT